GATGTAATCAAAGGAAAAAGTCTGGTAAATGGCATATCAGTTACAGACTTATAGTACATATTTTTTGCTTAACAATTACTTCGTGTAATATAGAGTAGAGGCTATGATTGATATATTCATCTAGTTAAATACAAATTTCATTTTGCACTATATTTCTATGCGAAGCGTAAAAAGTCATTATTTATTGCCAACATTTGCCCGAAAAAACACTTAAATAGTAAATATTTTATGATTATTTGTAAATACAAGAACCACTTATTCTCATACAACTCTCCATTGGCTATCCATTCATACGAATTCTCACAACAACTTAAAACATTCTGTATATTCTGTGATCTTATTCTCCTATTCAGTACTGTATATGCATTACTGAATCATTTTATTCATGACATCTTTATACTAAAATCTATATCTTATAAGTTATATCTCATATTCGCATTGAATTTCAAATATTTCTTACATTAGTATTTGAGTGTAATTTAAATGTTTATTCATCTCTTGAGTGCAATCGTGTTGTTTGTAATGCAAAGAATTGCTAACAATTATAAGCATATATTTGCGAGAGAATTGAGAGAATAAACTATTGATTTTGTATTTTCATATGCATTCTGTTATTTCCATACAATACAAGTGCTTTATTATAAACATTTCAAAATATTATATCGAAATAATGTTTATTTTTTAGTTTAAATTATAATTCTATGAAAATTATTTTTGTTTATATAAATGTTTATTACCATAATTATGCTAATTATTAAAAAGTGCTTGAATATAAGTATTGTGCTTATAATTACAGGGAAAATGTACTCAAATGTTAGTTTATTAAATTTAAAAAATAAATGTGAATTTAATTAAATTTGTGAAAGCATGGATTTAATTTTAAAAATTCTTTGTAATAGGATTTTATCAAATAATTGAAATTGAATTCAAATATTCTCATTAAAAGGGATTTAATCTTATTACTTGACAAAATAGTGTAGAGACCGGAAATTTAGGTTTAAACAAATTTACGTTTAATTCAAAAGTCTAAGAAATAATTGTTAAATGTTTTGTTAAATAATAATGTTAAACAACATTTACATTTAATGTTTTGATTTAACTTTTTGTATTCGTTCAATATTTCATTTGTTGTTAAATTAATTCGTAGTTGTTTTGATATAATTTGTACTTTAATCATAAGTTTTAAGTATCAGGAATTTGATGGAATTACATGTTTAAAATCCGACGATATGTTTATAAATGTATTATCTTCTCAATGGGTTGATTACCAACCCATTGATTAATATGTATTAAGGGCTCTAAAGTATTGTTGGTATTGAGGCACTGAATACATAAGTCTTGATTTCAATAAATATATTTGTGTATAACTAAGAGCCGAGTTATACTAAATTAGTGTCCATAAGATTCCGATCTCTAGTGATCGGGCCTTTCGCCCGATTGCTACAACAGTGTGAGATTATAAGCAGTGATATACTGTATCCATGAGTGCATATTAATAATCAAAATATTTGAATATCAAAACTACACCCAAATTCTTATATAAATTTGCATTTTTATTAAAGAAAATAAACAAATTTTCATAAGAAAATGGTTCGCATAATAAAGAAACAGAAACCATGCGGTGATTAATTGTATTGAATTTCTAACTCCCATACTATTAGTTGGAAAATAAAAATCTTTTCAAATTAAAGAATCGGTGCATCTCTCGTCTCCCTCTCTCTCTCTCTCTCTCCCCTCATTCAAACACACTCTTATAGTATACACTCTTATAGTATACATCATGTGTTTAACTGTTTTTTGCTATAATTATAAATAATGGTATAAAAAAGAGTGAAATTAATGAACACTTGACATGCAATGCAACACAAAGTCTGTTATGTTTGGCCACAAACTATAAAACAATGCCTTTTTATTTGAATGTTTTAATGAATTTATATAATTCTTTTACTATTATAATAGCATTTTTATTTGTATTTAATTTTTGTGTTATTTTGATACACGGATTATGAAATTAACAATTTTTGAATTTATCTCAACGATAGTGTCTTATAAACTAGTATTAAATTACATTACATGTAGAAAATGGAGAAATTTCTTTTAGTTTGATACAGTGATAGATAATAGGCTTACGATTGCTTTTAAAAAACAATGTATGCATTAGTCTAATGAATGCTAAAATAAAATTTGCTCTCAATGTTTGTGATGAACCACAGAATCGTACAGAATATTCTTTCCCTTTCTTTTTTTGATACACTTTTTTAGTGTCTGTAAAGATAATAAACATTTATTTTAACTGAAAAAGCGTTCATTTATATCCATAATTTGAATACAAAGTATATGTTATATAAAGAATAAAAACCATTACAATAGTTATATTTTTTGTTTTTATAAATAAAAATGATTATTAGTTATAATTATTCATTTGTTAATATGTTATATAATATAAAGTATTATACAAAACATAAATCTTGAGATTTTTGTGTTTAAAAATTAATATATAAATTATATTCTGGGCTCACATTTCCTCTGCCGCACAATAAATAATAGATAAAATATGAAATAAATTAATTATATTTAAATTTATATTAATTATAATTAGTATTTTATTATATTTTATTGACGTATAAAATAACGTATATGTATATACGATGTGTAATTTACAAAATAATATTATATAACATTTACTATAATATTAAATTTTTATTATATAATGGGGTTTAATGTGAGATCCATTTCTCTCGTTATGAGTTATGTTATACTTAATGTGTTTTTCTGCTGTTTTTATATAACAAATATTTTATATAATACTCGTTATTATGAAGAATTAAATTCAATTAACTAAATGTGTTATAATTCCTAATAAAAGCGTTTAATTATACAAATTTCTGAAACAAAAAACAATATGAATAGTAATTGATATTTAGTGTAAACCCTATATTTAATCCTTGTTTTTCTTCTTCTGCGCTAATATTTTGGCGATAATTTGATAATAGATTAAAACGGATCCAAATTGAAGGGTGTATGAGATGACAGAGTGTATTATTCTTGACATTCAGGTGCCCCTCATCTCCACTATTGGATGACAATGAATGATGACATGAAATATACAGACTATTGGTGTCTATGGTTCACGAGTTAGCACTGAATTCCATAGATATTGTCGTCTCGTTCACTGAATTGTCTTTTGGCGACACTTTCTCTATTGATTTTTCCTCATTTACACCATTACTGTCTACTTCGGGTACAATGTCTTCCTCTTTTGGTTTGTTCTCTTCCACCACTTCTTCAATGGTTTGCAATTTCTCACAGAATTTATGCTGATTTAGTGCCTCCTTATCGAGATCCGAGCACTTGATGCTTATCTCTTTGGAACCGCAGATCACTTCATCCGTTTGTGGCTTACATTTGCCAAACTTTTTCAGACACGGCTTAAGAGTTAAAAATATGATAACAATAGGAATGACAGTGAGTATGAATATCTCGAAAGTCTTGTCGCCTTTGGCCACATCAAGACTGCCCGCACTCTTGATATCATTGAGATTATTATTTGGCTGACACTTTGGTGTCTTCTCATTGTCCAAGTGGTAATTGGAAGCACAATCACACGTACTGTTCGCACATTGGGTCGGATGAATGCACTCATCTTTGCCTCCGTTTACGCACGACTTTCCGTACGTCTCCTTATAATGGCATTCATGTGTGGTTTGATTGTAGCGATGGTTTTGACTGCATTTGCATTCGTTATTCTCGCAGACATAAGTGTTGACCACTGCCCGGTCGTCGTGGCGACAGTCCCATAGGTTTGAACACCAACTGCCGACCACTCGCTGGACACAAGTATTCACTTCAGTGTCAAACCAGTGGCCAACTTTGCACCGACACATACCCGACGGCCACATCGTTTGGTCGGTGCCGAAGAAGGCGCTGGGGTTTAGAGTAAACTCTTCGCGATAGTTATAACAGCCGGCGTTCGGGATGTGATTGCATTGGGCGGACGTGAAACAGTCTTCGGTCATGTATTTGGGCTGAAAACAAAAGCCACCCAATCGTATGGTGAACTCAGGTCTGCAAACACATCTCTGGGTCTTTTTGTCACACTGTGAGCCCCGTTTGTCGGCACAGCCATAGCTCTGATATTCATGGAAATTGCATTTGTATTCATTAATGCATTCAATAGTTTGCAATAAATTATATAAAAACATATATGAAATGCAGAGTCTATTGAACGCGTTGATGGCATTCATGGCAAACGAGTGAATGACTGCCTGCGAGAGTGCACTGATAGTGGCGTACAGACAGTGGTGTCTGTCTTGTCATCAAACGACAGAGTCGTGGCAGCGATGATAGCGATGGCAGTGATGGCAATGCGAACACTGAACGCCATTAACTGTGAACTAAGACTATAGACACAAACTGTGAGAGAGAACTATTCGACGGCTGTTTCGGTGCTTTTGGATCCGAGACAACAACCGCTATAATATACAGCCAACAAAAGTCTTCACTTCTTATAGTCGTTAGTCGTTATGGATAAATATCGATTCACGAGCGCATTGCGCCGTTCAATATGACTCTCCCTTTTGTGTTGCAATGAGAGAGACGAGAGAGCGAGGGAGAGATGGGGAGAGGGAGAGAGAGAGAGAGAGAGAGAGAGAGAACAAACGGTAAAAAAGTTTACGAGATTTGAATCACAGAATTGCTTGCATTAGAGAGATATCACAGAATAGCACAGAATTGAGAGTACAGTTCCAGTACTATATGTTATACAGTGTAATAAGCAGTGGTCTGTTGTGTTAAGGACTGGTAGTATTGGTGTCTCGCTGTGTATCTAACAGTAAAATACAATCACTAGCTGTAGTGAAACGTCTCCTAAAGTAAGATTAATTTTTAAATCATTTCAAAAAATAGTGGATCTGTTTATCCAATATATACTTTACTGTATATAATATACACCATATATTTGGTCATAAATCACAGAATAGTTGTCTAACTTTCCAACAATACAACCAAACTGTGTGTGAATTGTAGTGCAAAACACCCCCTGTTTTGGCCCACAATTGGTCTCATCTGAAGTGAATGTGTGAAGAGTTTGTGCGCCGACTCTAACCATACATACCATACATGCCTTCACTTCACAAGTGTTTACATTTGAATTGCATTTCAATTGTGTTTCGCCTTTGAGTCCCAATTATGGCCGCAATTAATGCAATCAACGCTTCCCTCAAATATGGCCACAATTTGTTGGCCAGAAATGAGTGTCGTTTAGCCGGTAATGATGTCAACCTCTGGTCACCACAACTGATCCCAATACTAACCATTTGTTTTGTTTGTTGTGTTTTTGTTTGTCTTGTCTTTTTATGTTGACAGTGATTGTCGGCCAACAGATCCGTTTCCGACGCAAAGGTTTCAAAGAGCAAAAGATTTTGTCCACACCTCGAGAGTTGCCAATTGATGCCGAGATGGAGAGCCGCCGCGTGTCCAACAAGGAGTCAGTGGTGCCGTCAGAGTTGGCTGATCTTCGGTTCGCTTTCCCCGAGTTTTTGCCCAAACCTGTGGTCAAACATCGCGACCGACTCTGCGAACAACTTATGCGCAATGATCTGATCCGTCGGCGGACTGTCATCGATATTCCCGAGTTTTATGTCGGATCCATACTATCGGTGACCATAAGTGATCCGTACGCACCCGGGAAAGTGTCCAGATTTGTGGGCATTTGCATCGAGAGGGCCGGACAGGGAACCGATGCCAACTTTACGCTCCGCAACCGAGTGGACGGACAGGGAGTGGAGATCCGGTACGACATGTATAACCCGACCATTCGTGAGATACAAGTGCTGAGACTCGAGAAACGACTGGATCCGCATCTGTTGTATCTTCGGGACGCTTTGCCCGAATTCAGTCACTTCCCATTCGACATGACTCCGGAACCGCTGCCGGCGGGCGCAGAGGTGCCGGTGAATGGGGTGCGAGTGGTGATGAAGAAGTGGCCATGGACGCGCAAGTGGGAGGGACACGACCTCGAGGGCATCGCACAGTTGACAGATCTGCCCGACTGGCAGTATATCAACAAATGGCGCAAAAAGAACTCATACGAGAAGTACGACCTCATGAAGGAATACAGGGAACACATCCCCGAAGAGGAAC